AGATACCGCACCACCACCATCAACAACAACAACAAACTCCAATCACCGTCAACGGGAGAAACTTGAAGGAAGTAACCTCCTTCACTTATCTAGGAAGCACTGTTTCAACTACAGGCGGGACGGACGAGGACGTCAAAGTCAGAATCGGAAAAGCAAGACAGGCGTTCATTAGCCTGAAACCAGTGTGGAGATCTTCTGCACTCAGCATCTGGAACAAGATACGGATTTTCAACACCAACGTCAAGTCAGTGCTCTTGTATGGCTCAGAGACTTGGCGCGTCACGAAAGGGATTTCCAATAAACTACAGACATTCATCAACAACTGCTTACGCTCGCTGCTGAAGATCAGATGGCCAGAAAAAATAAGCAACAAGGAACTCTGGGAACGAACCAACCAAGAACCTATCACGCAACAAATATGCAGGAGGAAGTGGAGATGGATTGGCCATGCACTGAGAAGGCCGACTGAGGACATCACGCGTCAGGCCCTCGAGTGGAATCCCCATGGGAAGCGACGAGTTGGACGTCCGAGGGTGACATGGAGGAGGTCATGCGAGGAGGAAATGAGAGCTTCTGGGCTGTCGTGGAACCAGGTTCAAAAGATCTCAGAGAACAGAGGTCACTGGAGGCGTGCTACTGAAGCCCTATGTTCCACTAGGAACCCAAGGGACTAATAATAATAATAATAATAATATGACCAAAATGGTTTTTTTTCTATGGATCTCTCTTCTCTTATTATGCTTTCCTTCCATTTGTAAGTTTATCACATAGTTTATCGAAGATTTTTACATGCTTACAACACACACACACACAACTGTCAAAATTGATCAACGGTAAAAAGGGAGAGAAAAACACTGCAAACGGAAATAATAACAACAGAATAGCTTATCGCCAAGATAGAATGGAAAATGAAGGAGTTAATATATTATTCTTTTCTATTAATCGGTAGTTGACGTGACAGATAGGGTCATAAAACTGTTATTTCTTCAATCAATATCTATATGTTAAGGAGAAAACGAATAGACAACTGAGAATGTTCATTTCTAAGGCAAAGGAACTAAAATTGAAGAGAATATAAGTACTTCATACATTATAATTGGTTGGTCTAGTAAAAAATATACATAAGATGTGTAAGATGTGATGAGAGTGTATACAAAAAATATTAGCCTCGAAAACAGTTTCGATTTGGATGTTTCTGGAGATTTATCGACTTCAAGATGATATTCGCTATGTCGACCTGTAGGTCCTAGACTGTGTCTTATGTGTCTGAGGCTGCGAACTTCAGAGGGACCCCATTCCTAAGGTGAAATAGTGCTACTACGATTTTCAATGGTTGTCAAATAGAAGTCAGTCTGTGATGAATACTACGTTAAAAAGTCTTAATTATTTTGAAGACTAATGAAACTATGACCACTGTACCTATATGGCTTAGAGCATCATTACTATTATTATTTGTCCTCTGGGTTCCGAGTGGAACATAGAAATTCAGTAGCACGTCACCATTTCACTCACTTCTCTACAGTCTCGCTAACCTGGCTCCACAACTGACCACAAGCTTTCATTTCTTCCTCACACAATCTCCTTCATGTCAACCTCGCCTCCAACGAGCAACTCGTCGTTTCCCCCTTAGATTCCACTCGGTGGCCTGGCCTGGTCTGGCCTGACACGTGATGTCCACAAACTCCTCTTCTCAGTCCATATCCAATCCAATCCATCTCCACACTCTGCTTCTCCATATTTGTTGGGCAATACCTTCACAGTTGGTTCGTTTCCACTCAGCCACAGTTACTCCTTGCTTATTCTCATTATTCTATTCTGGTCATCTCATCTCCATCTTCAGTGTCAGTATCGAGTGAGAGTAGACGACTGCTGTTCATGCATGTGTGCAGTTTGTTCGAAATGCGCCAAGTCTCTCAACCACCATACAGAAGCACTGACTTACTTGACCGAATTAGTGTTGAGAATCCGGATCTTGTTCACGCTTTATACTGAGTGGAGGGGAGTGGAGTAGATCTCCACACTGATAATTTCAGATTAACGCAGGTAGGCCTGTCTCGCTGTCTTTGACATCCACCTGTATTTGAAACGATGCTTCCTAGGCAGGTGTAAGTGAAAGAGACAACTTCCTTTAGATTTCTCACGTCGATGAGGGTTGGCGCTTGTTACTGATGCTGTTGTTGGTTGGGTATCTTCATCACCTTTGTCTTCTCTACGTTCACCTGAAGTCCGTTCCGTCTTGGTTTGCTGCCTCAACTCCGTCTGCCAACTTGTTAGTTTTCGTCTGTAGATCTTCAAGTTTGTGCGACATAAGACATAAATCATCTGCGAAATCCAAATCTTCTTCTGGGGTCTTTTCATTGGTCCAGCCAGCAACGGTTTGCCCCTCTTCTCGCTCCTCACAGTTTGCTGCATGATCCATTCCAGTCGACCACAACTAGGGAGATCATCGATGATGACAGTAGGTAACCATGTCTTAGTCCTGTCTTTACCTCAAAGGCATCACTGAGCTTTCTATTGTGAATCACTTGGCATTTAGCATCCTCATATAGCTGCTGTTGAATGATGTTGATGAAGGTTTGTGGCACTCAAATCGTAGTGTTGAAGTAGTTGCCAAATTTCTTGTCGGTTGACGCTGTCAAGGGCCTTTTCAAGGTCGATGTAGTTGAGGTAGAGATTTGATTGCCATTCTATGCTCTGTTCTGTGATGATACGTAGCGTACCATTGCAATTTGACCCGCATATGATTTGTTCTTCCTGAATCCAGCCTGTTCCGATCGTAGTTTTGAATCCAGTGCATCGTTTAATCTCTCCAGGATGATGCGGCCCAATATTTTGCTTGAAATGGACAACAGCATGATTCCGTACCAGTTCTTGTAAAGACTAAGGTCGGTTTTCTTTGGGAGTGACAAGGTAGCCCTTCTTCCAATCGGCAGGTACCTTTTCATCCTTCCAAACCTACTGCAATAGTGAAGTCCGCTGATGTCTCTTCGTCTGTTTTCAATGCTTCTGGAGGAATTCCATCTGGTCCTGTTGATTTCCCGGATTTCAGCAACTCTATAGCGTTCAGGACTTCACTTCTGTTAGTTCTGTGGCTGGACTGGTGATGGTATTTCTGGACAAGTCGCAGGTGGTTGTGGTGGTGTTCGATCCAAGAGTTTTTTGAGGTGGTCAGCCCATCGTTTCTTTTGTTTCTCCTCTTTGGTGATAATTAAGTTTCTTTCACTGGCTTCATCTGTGTTGACCTCTTCCCAGATAGTAACCTGGTTATTTGATATAGTGTTGTCAGGTCTCTCATACCTGCAGCCTGTTCTGCCTTACTTGCAAGCGTATATCGTAGAAGTGTGTTTTGTCTTTGTGCGCACTCTTCTTCACTTCTTTGTCCAATATAGTGTTTTATAGGTTGTACTCAGTTCCTCTTTTCGTTGTTCATCCATGCACTGCACTGCGCATTGGTTCATCTTCTGCTTCATCATCTTCCTTTCCTCTAATATGGCTTAGAGAGTAACATAGTGAAATTGTTTCTCTTGATTACACATTTACTACACTAAGATTGTGAATGCTGGGGTATAATATTACGCGTATAAGCATTTCGACTAAAAAAATAATAATCTAAAGGAGAGAAAATCTACAGGAAATGAGAGTTATTCAGCATTAGAGATAAGAATATATTCTTTGGATAGAGAAACCAATATGATATATAGGAATAATCATTCTGTTTCATCTACGGATTCGATTTCAGAGGTCAGCTCTGATATAGTAAGTGTGATTTATATTCTAAAGTGTGATTTTTGAGTTGGACATATCTAGATAAAAATTTATGAGAAGAAAGATCACTTAGTAAATTGTATTAGGCAATTATAAACTCCAGATAGAAAATGAAGGAATAAACAATTTCACAAAATGAGCCAGGAGATAGTGACTAAGTTTGATAAAACATGGATACTGAAGCATTGCTTCAATTATAATAATAAAGCAATAGAAGAGAGAATAGGGACAAAACAGACATGAATCACTGTAGTATGATCGTTATTAGTTTAGATTCTAAGTCACGTCTGATGTCATCTCAATGTATTGAGGTGTATGGTCTCTCGGACTCTATCCAAAAAGTCATGAGGGTATCTATAGCGCCGTGATACACTGACGTCATCTTTGCTTCTTCTAACGGTAAGAAGTGTGGAAGCTAGTGGGATGACATATGTGACAGATATCACCGAAGTCTAGATTTTCAGATAAATATACTAAGCGAATGACGATCTCTATTGCAACTAACTAAGCATATACTATCTCATCTATAGGATTTTTACAGAAGAGGTGAGCAATCCTTAGAAGACACTAAGTCGTAGGTTATTGTTAGTTTGAAAGAACTAGATTTCCCAAGATTAGAGTAGAACTATTCACGTTGGCACGTTGTACACAGCTGAAAAAGATTTGAAACATCAACTTTAATATTCAGATAAGGTTGGCATTAGAGCAATTGGAAGGGAGGGTTTTCTGTACCTCCCATCGGTTAGTAATATAAACTTGTTAGAATGATCTGATGACAATTGATTCAGTCATAAGATGTTAACCATTTCTCTCTTGAATTCTTCTACATAAGAAGTTTGAGTCTATGGGGGATTTTATTTCTAAAGCTTTATTCATCGTAGATTGATATCAGTTGAAGAGTTCGATGCCTAGTAAGGCGGGATCGTGAATGCGTAACTAAGAAGAAACAGCTGTCCAGTGTGCTACCAGGTATAATACCAGTCCGTGCATCATGAATACAACTTATATATATCTTGTATGTGTTAACAAAGTTATTGGAAAACATGGATTTTATCATTATTTGCTGATGATAACAGGACCTAGACACAGATATGTCCATCAATGTGGAAACGGAGCATACGACAACATGAATTTTGACCATGTTACCGTGCATACACATAGAAAGAAAATGACAAACAATCGCACACACACACACACACAACACCACACACACACACAAAAGGATAATAACTTACATGATCAAACAATAAACCTGGATTACTATGCGACAGTTTACCGAGATGTCTACCCATTGGTTTCACATTCTCTTTGCTAAGTCGTCTATAAACGAAGAAAAAAATTGGAAAATAAAGGATCCTATCCATAAAAAGAATCATCTAATGCTTTAATATTATCATAGTGGTTTCATTCATTGAAATTACTTGCAGCCAGTTAGTAAACTGTAGCTTATTGCTTAATGGAGATGAATTTCAAAAAAAATGCGTTATGGATTCCAGCAGTACTTCACCACCTACCTACAGAGATTTGAACAGGCAACCCAATCATACAATAAGTCTGCTTTATTCCTACTATAGGAATGTGTACAAGGTTCATGAATGGATTTCGAATTCTAAGTCTATAAAGTAACTCAGCAACAATCTCAAACGATATTCGTATAATTATCTTCATAATATAACTGGGGTCAATGGTTATTCAATCGGTAAACAGAAATTTTAATATGATAAACTCCGGATTAAAAATTACTGTGAATAAAGAGTTTCCCCAAACATTTTCATATTCCTATTCTACTTAGTCAATGTTTCGTGGTAGTTGTGTGACGCTTAACGATAGAGGTTGATTGTGTGTGTGTGTAAACACCGAAAGGTGAAACACACCTAAAACCAAATGGATGGAAGCTGACATGGACAACAGTCCTATCCTTCCATCTTCCCTACCCCAAAAAATCATCGAGAAATAACAAGAAGGAAATAACCTCAATGAACAAATATCAACTGAATAAACTTGGCAAGTATATTGAGTAAAATCGTTTCCTTATGCATAGCTTTGGCCATAGAATGTTATCATAAGGTAATAAATCTGAAGTTGAAATGTACTCAGCAACCAAGTGCACATTTGTTTAGCAAGTAATGAGCCATACCTCTTGTTTGAGGGGATTAATAATACTACCTGGTTGCCTAAATCTCAGGAGATGGAGTGGGATTCGAACCCGTGCCCTACAACAATCGCAGCTTATAACCCGAAACGATTTATTCCTTTCAACTAGAAGATAAAAAATTCAATGGGAAAAGATAATTTCCAATCCACCGATATTCTAAAGTGTACAAAAACACTGAAAATACTGTTACAAAACAATAATAATAAAAGTTAGCTTACTTCATAATAGCTTTCGCATAACATAAGACTTGAGCACGTCGACGAATAAGACTAGGCTCTGTTTGTGCACTGAAATGCTTCCATTGACCATATAATCGGTATCTTTTGGTATAAAAAAACAAACAGGAAAAACCAACATTCAAATGGGTTGAATAGTAAAAATTTCGATATCAAATTTGCACAGGTTCAATAGATCACAGAGTACATATGATAATGTAGTGATCTCATGTGAAAAGTTGATATGAAATGGAACCTTCTATGAGATGAAAATTACTTTCTTCATGCTATTTATGATCAGACTCTTCTATCTCAATCACCCAGTTGATCACTTATACCGGGTGAACTTAACATACGACAAAATACATGAGTTGGCTAATATAAAGTAGAACGAATTGCTGCTGTTAGAGTAGAGTATACATCATTATTTGCAGTGTGACAAGATGAAGCTGTGTACTCATAAGTAAGTGAAGTTATGGCTTATTGGTCACTGGTTCGAACATCACTTCATCAACCGAGGCTTGAGGAGTCAGGTAGTATCACTTGCCCTCCCTACAAGAGGTGTGACTCATTACCTACTCTGAGTGGATTTCAACTGGTAAGTATTGAAGTATATATCACGACATTAAAATGTTTACCATGGGAGGTTAGTATTCCTAGTTACACTGCACTAAAATCTGCAGATTACTGCCTCTTGTTTGCCCATTTATCTCAAGCATTACACGGTTATATGCAGAAGGTATACTACTACTACTACCACTACTACTACTACTACTACTACTACTACTACTACTACTACTACTACTAATAATAATAATAATAATAATAATAATAATAATAATCCCTATGACAGTATAAAATTCTCAGAATGTTATTTTTTAACAAATTCACTCCAAGAATAATACTTTCAGACAAAATAGTTATTAAATCTCTGTATGATGTTGACACTAACAGTATTGAAGGCAATCATATAAAATAGCCAGCTGGTTCTGGATGGGCGTCCGATCCATAATGAAGAATCAACAGAAATGCAAGCGTAATTTAAGTGGTGATGATGGTGGTAGTTCATTCAGACGGAAAAAGTGCACCGAAAAGTTTATTTCCATATAATGTAACACTTTTTTCCCTACTTTATTATTGACTCGATAAACGTAGAGTTCAAAACAGTTTAAAAATATGCCAGAGTAAATGATACATTCAATGGACATAGTAAAATGATTAAAACAAATTAAAAGGAAAGAATTTGATTAAAAAAAATGTTCAGTAGCTCAAAGGTTCAAGCAGGCCGCCTAGTAACGCTTTAGCTGACACCATTTTTCACTTTTAAAATGTTTCCAACCTATAGTTTTGCAAGTTGTTTATTATATTATACCAGAAACCCGGTGGTCACTGGTTCGAATCCCGCCCCCCCTTCTCTCTAATTCTGTTAGATCTGGATTAGGATGAAAAATTGTGACTAGGTAGCCAGTGTTAGTACCAATCAAGCGGTAGTAACGCATCACGAATTCATATGGTAGTCAGGCAAAATTATTGGTGACTGGTTAAAATGAAATACAAATCTGATCAACAGTCGGACTTGTTAGTTCAGTTTAGTAGAGCATTGGACCAGAAACCAAGTGGTCACTGGTTCAAATCGGGTTGCGGTCCAAATTTTCATTTCACCTTTAGTTGTCATCCAGTATAAAAGTTAGGCGAAAACATCATGATAGACGGCAATGGACCAGTAAACGTATAACAATATATGAGATAACTATTCTTGGAACAGTTAGCTTAAACTGTAAATTTTTATGCTAATTGAATGAACCCTCCATCAAATTTATGCATGCTATTCTCTATTCGTTTTCCTCTCCTGTCTGCAACAAAACACCTACAGACTAAACGGATAGCTTAGCAATGGCTGGTTATTACGTATTGTTGTTAGTAATATTTTTACAATTAACATTGTTTATATACTATAATTATTGTCTTTCAAATATTAGGCACTGAGAATTCCATACTGTGTGCGGTACATCGATTATTATTATTATTATTACCAAGGTGGAGCTGTGGTTGGAGGATTTAGGAGATAGTTATTAACCACTGGGTTAGGGTTCGAATCCCACTGCATCTACTGAGGTTTGAGCAGCCAGATAGGCTGTTAGGCTTCTCACACAGTAGGTGTGACTGATTGCTTACTTGCACGGACACGTACAAGGTGGTTGAGTTGAATACCGATTATTGCTAAGGGTCACAGCAGTAATTGATTGTTATCATATCTAACACTCCAATCAATCAGCTAACATTTCGTAATATGGCTCAAATTCTACGTAACAGATTAATATTATGTTTTGGTCTGGTCACCATAAGCTTTCTTCTAATATAATCCTACTTCGGACAGTATTATACATCAAGACAGATGGTAACTTAGCATGTACACCACATCAAAGCCATTTAGGTTGATGAAGATTTGGAACCTAGTCAACTTATTCACTTTCTTTAAACAGATATCTTTTGACTAAGACAGTTCAATAAAGAAAGTCAATAATGAATCTCGTAGCTTGGTGGCCACATTCCAAAACGATAGGTAAAATTCTACTAGCACTCAGGACTACAATATGAAATTGTTTGCTCTCTAGTGACCAACATGCCTATAAAGTACGCAACCTATAATGTACAACCATATATACAACTTTTAACAGCATACTGTTAATCAATAGTGTTTTGTGAGTGAAAGAATAAGTAGGATGACAGAAGCGAGATATTTAAAGTACATTTTTCACTTCCCTATAAAATTATCTTTGTCTTATTTATTCAACGTATCCTCAAAAAGAAGAATAACAGTAGTCTATTGAAATGAAGTAAAAAGGAGTTGGAAATAAAACAATTTACAGGTTATTACTGATGGATATGTGCCTAGTAGTGGAATTGTAGATGGACGTTTCGTCTGTTTCCAAACTCATCATGATTCACTGTCTCCCACAGCGAGTGATTTCTTTCTATCACTAGCCACTATCCATTATTCATATAAAAACTTAGAATACCAGTCATATTAAGATGTCCCGCCTAACAGCTCATCTACTAATGACAATCGATCATTTCGACGTAACCAACAGTGAGGAACTTAAAGCTATAACGCCAACTTAAAAAATACTTTACAAGCTCACAGGGTAAAAGACAAATCAAAAAATTACTAAATTAGCAACTGGAAGTTGTATTCGATTCACAATCATTGACACTATCGGTATAGCTACTTAACCGACGACATTATATTCTCTGTCTTCCGTATTAACCACATTAATACTCATTGGTTTGATATCAAACATTCATTTCTGAATCTTTAATATTGGCAATACATTATTTACAGAAATGATACAGTAGTATTAAACCCATACTGAAACAAATTATCCAATGACAATGGTTTATCACGTTTATTCACGTGAATCCTGTCCATTTTCATTATAAAAAAACAGTGAAATCTTTGAGACAAAATATTATTATTATTATTATTTGTCCCTTAGGTTTCTAATGGAACATAGGGCTTCAGTAGCACGTCTGCATTCCACTCTCATCTCTACAATCTTTTGAACCTCGCCCCACGACTGCCCACAAGCTCTCATTTCCTCCTCACACCATCTCCTCCATGTCACCCTCAACTAGGACGCCCAACTCGTCGTTTCCCATCTACCTTCCACTCGAGTACCTGGCCTGACGCGTGATGTCTCCAATCGGCCTTCTCAGTGTATGACCAATCCATCTCCACTTTCACTATCTTCTGCATATTTGTTGAGCGATAGGTTCTTGGTTGGTTCGTTTGCCTGCCAGCCAGCCAGCCAGAGTTCCTTGTTCCTCATTCTCATTATTCTGGTAATCCATCTGAGCTTCAGTAACGAGTCAGCGTAGGCAGCAGTTGTTGATGAATGTCTGTAGTTTGTTGCAAATACCTTTCGTAACCCGCCAAGTCTCTCAACCACCATATAGAAGCACTGACTTGACTGAATTAGTGTTGAAAATCCCGATGTTGTTGACGCTTTATGCTGAGTGCAGTGTAGTGCAGAAGATCTCCACACTGGTTTTAGGTTTATGAACGCCTGTCTTGCTGTCTTTCCAATCCTGGCTGGTTTTGACGTCCTCGTCTGTGCCACTTGTGGTTGAGACAGTACTGACTAGATAGGGGAAGGAGGCTGCTTCTTTCACGTTTTTCCCGTTGATGGTGATTGAAGCTTGTTGTTGCTGTTGTTGTTGGTTGGGTATCTTCACCACCTCTGTCTTCTCTTTACTCACTTGAAGTCCGTTTTCGCTGCACCGCTTCTTCTATCAACCTGTTAGATTTCACCCGTAGATCTTCAAGTTTGTGCGACATGAGACAGACGTAAATCATCGGCGAAATCCAAGTCTTCTAGGATCTTTTCCCGTCTAGCCAGTGTATCTCCCTCTTCTTGCTCCCCATAGACAAATAGGGAACAAGGATTGATGCAGTTCAAACAAACATGCTTCTTTTGCTCATAGATGAAAGTGAGGTCTTTTCTCCATTCATCTCCATATCCCTCTTTGAATAACGCCCCCCTCACACACACATATACCAAGCAACAACCTACATTAAAAGTTTCTGCAACACAGAAGTGTGAGTCGTATAAAGAATTCAAAACAATAGATTGATAGGAAGTAGGTGAAATGAAAAATGATATTTTAAGGTAGAAGTTTTAGATTTCAACTTTTCTTTTGTGCTACACACCGTGTTGGCAAGAAAAATATTATTGGACAATTTATTCGACTGTTGACCAATCAGAATAAACATTCAGTTTTTGGCCTAAGACAAACAGTCCAAATGTCTCATCGCGTTAGCATCGGCCATATGTTTATTATTATTATCATCCAGTTGATCACTTCACCTTGTTCACTGGTAGTAGAACAATAAAGTCGCATTTTAGTCTTCTCACACGGCTACCATCTTCTAGGAGGGAGAACATTTGCAAAATTTGAATGAATAAAGAATATTCTTTTTAATAACTTCTTCTTCAACTTCTACAGTTTTGTATGCTCATATATTGTTTCAATGTCAGGTTAACGATAGTGACATCCTCCTTGTTATAACATTTCTCTAAGAAGATTATATAGAAAGTTTGAAAAATTCTCTTAAAATTAATCCTAATAACAGACTTAATAGACACAATATAATCAGTAAATAAAATTAAGCAAACAATCTTACCGATGTTCATATGGCATAAATCGTAGCATTTGCCATATTTCTTCAGCTAGACAACAATTTGAATCGACTAAACTTAATGATGGTAAGAGAACTTCATCCAACAGATTGAAAAATGCTTGATAAACAATACCAATTTTTACAGATTGAGAAGTTTGCTAAGTTGGGAAAAGGAGATTATAGAATATAATAATAATCGTCAATCTTTGTTATGAATAATAATAATAATAATAAATGTGGATTCATAGTGGAAAAAAGTAACAACCTTGAAATCAACCGATCCCTTGAGAACAACCTTCACACACTCATTATTAACTCATATTTCAAGATGGATCTCCCCATATGTGAACAAGAAACTATCAGATATGAAATCTACGAAGTTGATTAGGTGAACACAACACTTGGATGGTGTATATTGAAAGATGATGGCTACTGTTCAGTGAATAGATAGAAGTTAAAAGAAACTGTTGTTATTGGATTTTAAACACAGCCTTATAGTTTCATCGTCTTACATAGGGTTGTAGGTATTCTCTACTTAGAATTTCTAAACTGGAATAAAACAACTGATGATTATTGACGTTATCAATCCGTTATGACAATTAATCATCGGATACACACCTGTGGAATATGATAGCCAATCAAAAAGCGCCCGAAGTGAAATACATACACACACCTAGTTAGTCAATAATATCGTGTACCTAAGGAGATGGATAACCCAGCCTTGAAATCCTAAGGCGTTAGCGGAGGGGGGGGAATTTTCCATCATTCATATGACAAAGAATATCTATTTGTACTGAGTGATGATTGAAGGTGCGATGAAAATCTGGACCGCGGTCGGATTCGAACCAGCGACCACCGGGTTACCGGCCCGATGCTCTACCAACTACCACTAGTCGAGCAAAACCCTTGGTGACTGAAGCGAAATGAAATTCTAGTCAGCAGTCGGACCTCATAGCTCAGTTGGTAGAGCACCGAGCCGGTAACCCGGTGGTCGCTGATTCGAATCCCGCCAAGGTTCAGATTTTCATCTCACCTTCAATCATCACCCAGTACAAATACAAGTCTGCCAAACTACGGCTGTCTTAGATGGTGAAATCATCTACTTAAACTGATATCAATCACATAAATACTGATAAAGGTAAAAGGATGTTCTTAAAAACAGATTTATCTACAGTGTAATCAGATTGTCAGCATTTTACCATCGCCGCTCAAGTTTAATCACTACCTACCTTAGTGAATATGTAAAATAAGAATGCTTCTCTACTATTAAACTAAACAGAATACACAGTGTATACATACACGCACAAGCTCCTTACAGCCTACTGATCCTTTAGATCAGTTAAACCCTAATCTATGTTGCTTAGCTTTCATTGAATAAATCATTTATCCAGTTAAGTAATAAACGAAATTAAGGAAATAGCATTAGTATAGAGAGAGGACAGCACTTCTTCCATCGTCTACTAGTTATCAACTGACAATTTGAATCAAAAACATATCGAATGAAACCTGATCAGATGTCACTACTACGAGTATATCAAATATTGTATCTGATGTAATACAATAATATATGTATATGATGGATGAGGTCAGCTTTTCGTTTGCTCTAGCACGCACGCACGCACGCACGTAAACACCAGATACAAACAACTACTGCGACCATCATAATAAACTGATGGTTTACAGTATAGAAAGATAGACAGATTCCATTCTACTTGTCTGTTGCATACCCGGTCACGATGATTACAAGTTAGAAGACTTAGTATCTATCAAAGGATTGTTACACCCTTGATGCTTCAAATAGTCGTCTCTTGAATAACTTTCATCATCAAAAGATATGTAGACAGATAATCCAGTTACAGGTGTGTAAACTAAAAAGAAACATTAGGAAGATAATTTTTATTAGAAGACGATGATTATCTGGAAAGTGTGATGTATTCGCGAAATACATTTTGAACAATCCGAAGAAGGATATATATTTAAAGTGCTAAAACAGAGGGGAAATGAGTAGTATGATATTGAAACAGAGATTAAAGACTGTTATCACTAAAACATATTATGCAGCTCAGCTTATCATTGTTGAGACAACAAAACACCAGCTTCACTACAAACCTCAACTTCGTATAACTGATTATGTAACACCCACTGTGTGTATATATGTGTAGGCACACATACATAGGGAGGAGTAATCGTGATTTGCAGACTACAGCAGCTGAATATGTACCTAAATGACTTGGAAAAAAAAACAGTTGAACACAAATTTTAATACGGGCAGGTGACAGACATCCATCTTCATCTATACAAAACCATAACATCGAAATGAATCACGAGGTTAATACGAAAACACTAATCAAGATATTGTACAGGAACAGTCAAGGTAGCATACTGAAATCCCTCAAAGCGTTGACCATTCGTAAACTTAAGCCCCCATTGCGTGTACAATTTACCTTGATAAGCCTCATATGTCACAACCGTTTTATATTCATTATATTTCACCTTTCATTTTCATATATAACTTGAATTGAGACAAATAAATGTGGGGGTTCAGATTGTTCGAAATGTTTTATTGTGCAGTTGCCGATGTAATCTCTGCACGGATACAAAAGGCTCGACTGGCTTTTGCCAATTTACGCCATCTATGGCGCCGCCGTGATATCCATTCATCTATTAAGGGTCACATGTACTGCACACCAGTCCCCCTTTGTTATACTGTTTGGCTGTGAAACGTGGCCATTGAAGGTGGAAGATATAAGAAGGCTTCAGGTGTTTGACCACCGTTGCCTTCGTAGTATAGGCCGTATTCCGTGGTGTCACCACGTGAGTAATGCAGAAGTCAGGAGTAGAGTTTTATGGAGAAGAGGTAAATCAGTTGACGAAGTTATGAACCTCCATCGACTGAGATGGTGTTGGGACACGTACTACGTATGCCTAGTTACCGATTGCCTCGTCACACAATGTTGGCCAAAGTAGGTCCAGGCTGGAAATAGGCTCGAGGTGGCCAGACTAAAACATGGTACCAATGCATGAAGTCTGTGACTGTTAGTTTGATCTATGTGGGACGATGTAGACTAGGGTGGTTAGGGTTCGCGGGACAAGAGGAACTAGTGGTTGGAGACTCTAGGTGGTGAATCATGGCTGAGAACCGATCTCAGTGGTGAAGATGCATACACACATTATCGTCATCTTAACTATGCTATACCGAATCTCACCATTTTGTCACTCCTCTTTCCTTTCTTCTCGTACTTTATATTTATTTTGACTGAATTTTCTCATCTTTATCTTCCACTTCACTACCTTTCTACTTGATGCAGTGATATGAGGTGTGGCAACTCTGACTGTGACGTAGTAATGCCTGGTCCTAGGTTGATATTGATGATGATTTATTGTGCAAACACATCATATATTGTTCAGATAATCTTCGTCTTTCAATCACCTTATCAATATATATATTCAAGGGACTGATAGTTTTCAAATTAGAAAGATAGTTTTAAAGAAAATAAACATGTATCCAAAGAAATACAATAATTACCTGTTGTGATAGATAGATTTGTCCAAGACGACAAAATTTCACCATCAATACTAAATCATATGACATATGTGGACCTAAGTAGATTGCTATGGGTATTGCATATCTAGCAAGATCAAGAAAATCATGAACAGGCGATAAACAGATATTCAAGTTTGTATTGTTTTGATGATTAGCATCTTCATCCATTTCACAATCTACTGTCTTCTCATCAATATCCTTATTTATAATTGATGTGGTTAAAGCTTTAAATGATTCAGTTGTCGGTCGAAAACGATTTCGTTGTAAACATTCAGGTAAAGGACATACTCTACAACGATAATAATAATAATAATAATAAGAAGACAGTAATGAGTAGTGATAATTCATCATTTATATTCAAAGAAAACAGATGACACAATTGAAGTAACACTCTTCTCTCTATCATAAAGATACCAGGCTTTTAGTTAAACATCTCTTTGTAGTATTTCTCATGTATAGTGGAATCATGTTAATAAAGAAAGGTTCCAAGTTGTTATTCATCGAAGACTGACATCAGTTGGAGGAACAAAGGAAACCTGGGAGCACTGGACAGCTGCTGTTTCGTCCTAGTATGGGACTCCTCAGCAGTGCGCACCCACGACCCCACCAAGCAGGGATCGAACCCGCGACCTTCAGGTTCCGCAACCAGCGCGTTTTGTTCCTCCAACTGATGTCAGTCTACGATGAATAACAACTTGAAATATTTCCAAATCTCCACAACCCCCTCAAAATTTAATTGAACTAGTGCTCGTTGGTGACTAGCTTCGAGAAGTATTCCCGAAGTTCCAATGACAAGTCGTGACCAGTGGAGTCAAAGCCTGATGGCCGTGAGGACAAATACTCAACGATGACATTGGGTGGCGGTTGAGCTATATCGTGAACTAACAGAAGTTGGAATATGGAGCATTGGATTCTGACCCAGTGGCTCAATGGTAACGTGCTGGTCGCGGAACCTGAAGGTCGCGGGCTCGATCCCTGCTGGTGGGGTCGTGGGTGCGCACTGCTGAGGAGTCCCATACTAGGACGAAACAGCTGTCCAGTGCTCTCAGGTTTCCTTTGTTCCTCCAACTGATGTCAGTCTTTGATGAATAACAACTTGAAATATTTCAAATCTCCACAACCCCCTCTAAATTTAAAAGAAAGGTTCACTGAAAAGTACTAGAGAAGAGAAATCAGTCGATGAAGTTGTGAACATTCACTAAGTGAGATGCCATGCACATCTATGCTAAGTGATCACTTAATTCCATGTACAAAGTTAGCTGAAAATCGATTAGGTTAAGTAAGACTTAATGTGCTCAAAGAAAACTGACTGTTAGTTTGATCTGAAAGACAATAAGAATAAATAATTGATAACTCTTGATGAAATAATTGAAAATAGGTTACAACGACATAAATGTATTCACTCTTTACTATCTTTAAAAAGCTTGAATATTTGTAAATTCTCTGTCCTCCTCTCTATACACACCTTTATCTACTTGAATACTAATCTTTTTATATCCACTTCATTCTTATATACTACTTTAAAGTGTAGTAACTTGAAGTGATGCATTTCAGTACAAGATTCTATGCTGATAATTGTTAATCTATCCTGTTTACTCTCTCTACTACATACACATATGACATCAAATGTATCGATCAGGAGAAGGATCCAATGTATCAATAATTACTGAATAATTGAAAGTTTAACTCCGTTGCTAATGCATTCCATATCGGTTGTAACGATGACTAACAATGTCAGATCCAGTGAACATACTTTAAACTAAAAAACATACGGTTAACGATCTGATGTAACAACCTTTTTGTTGTTACTGAGATGTACTTTATTCACTTATCACTGTTGTTGTAATACAGTAGATATTAAACCCTTGTATACGGATCAAACAATTTGTCTAACCGATAAATGAAAGTTTGGGTGGCGATCCGATTCAAACCAGCAACCACAGAGATTTTGGCCCGATGCTCTACCAAACTGAACTAACTAAGTCCGACTGCTGATCACACTGCCTAACTAGTCACAACTTTTCATCCTCATTCAAATCTAACTGAATTAAAAAGGGGGAGTATCATATGGATTATCATTTTGACTATCTGAGTCAGATAGCCGTGGATTTAGTAGACTTGTAATGGTACTGGGTAACCGACTGGGCAGCAGTGTTAGTACAATCAAGCGGTAGTAACGCATCACGAATTCATATGGTAGTCAGGCGAAATTCTTCATGACTGGTTAAAGTGAAATACAAATCTGACCAGCAGTCGAACTTGATAGTTCAGTTGGTACAGCATCCAGGCCGGAAACCCAGTGGTCGCTGGTTCGAATCCAGCCGCCCTCCAAGTTTTTATTTCGTCTTCAATCACTACCCAGTATCAATAGTAGTTTGCCAAATCACGGCTATCTCGAGTAGTCAAAATGATAACTGATAAATAACCACATATGTGTTATGTGAGGGATAATATGCATGACGCATATCAGAGTTGGAGTGATGAATGTGATAGTACGCATAAGAAAGAAACTCGTAAAGATATGGACCAACGATAAATATTTAAATGTTAACAATGATTCAAAAGGCACAACTGTAGAGCGCTTCTTCATATATTGTACCTAAACCTAAAGTGTTACACATTTCTCTCACATTATGAGATAGGAGAATCAAGATGAGTAATGGGATGTACAGACAACTAAATCTAACTGATCTCATATGCTCTGAAGAGTAATCTTCGACTTCAGGATACCGGAAGTAAACTAGTTTGTTCGCTTAGCTATACTCATCAACCATAGAGGCTGAAACCATCTACTATAGCCATTTTTACATTGAAAATTTGATACATGAACACTTCTTTAACAAAAAAACAATACCAGACACAAGAAAGGATGGAGATGAGTTTGATGTTTTAGAGGGTCAAACCAATTCAGACTATTAAGGTTTTTATAGACATATGTTGTCACCAATTGTGATACACTGGTTGTACTTCATAGTACAATACATAAACCCGCGGAGGTCTGCTTCGTGAGTGTCTAGGTATTCACCTTTCAATCGATGATTCATAGGTTCGATCTTTATCTCGCCTCTAGAGGTTTAAGTAGTTAGATAGTATCATCAACCTTCGCATAAAACGCATAGTTCGCTGCCTGGTGCATAAACCTGCAAGTTTTTGCTTAGTTGTATTGTTCTATTTGTATAATTCTGAACATGGTCACTGAGCTAGTTGATCGAGAAGAGTAATTTTCCGCTGAACGCAATGGAACTACAGCTATACTCGGAAAAGTGATTTTTTTTAAACGCCCTAATGGGTCAATATAAATCAGAAAGTATATCGCTATGAGACTGAAGCGTGTAGAAATGCGAGCAATGAATGAAGAGAAGACATGAATCTCTACTTAAAATAAAACAGCAATGACTGACTCTCATCGACAATGTAAATAAAGACATCAATACTTACTTATTGTATAACGGTTCAATTAAACAATGCAATAAACTGCATATATCTTGTGCTAAAGGTTCATAAGTAGTTCCCCAGTAGCCTGGTAAGCGTTCTAATAGACGTTGAGCATTCGTCCAATCACCTAATCGTATCAAAGCAGAGCACAACTCCAATTTCTGATTGTTTTCATACTGTGTAGTAAATAATAAACAGAAATGCAGGTAATAGAGTTGGACGGTGGTGTAGCTTAAACGAGAGAAGAAAATGCACTGAGCCATATATATTGCTTGACGAGTTTCTCAAACATCGGTAAGTGAAACACGGTTCGAACCCGTGGCCCACTGGTTGAAAGTTATCTCCCTAAACCAATAAATTACAGCTCCACATTGGTAACACCAACTTTTCATTTCATTATTACTGCATCTCAGTGGACGGTAATGCTGAACACAAATTTCTACAAGTTCACTTTATCTGTGATCCATATGATAACAAAAAAAGTATATCGCAATAGCAAAGTTATGTGGTGGGATGAGTTTAGCAATAGAGAAATCCATTCAGGAACTTTGCACAGTATGCAAAGTGAGCTTAACGTATAGTATGATGGCCTAATGATACTACCTAGCTGTCCAAACCTTGGTAGATGGAGTGGGGTTCGAACTCATAACTCAGTCGGTTGAGAACCAACTCTACAATTAGTTCCGCAGTGCTACATATTTATTTAGCCATTATCTACAGGAGAAATGGCATACTTACGATGAGCTTAAAAACAATACGATTGAGGAATACTGCAAACATAGATACTAAGAAGAGTCACGTTTTGAATTGAATGCGTAACACTCAGTAAAAAATTTTATCAAGGAAAGTGATGACGATTATCTTGTTATGGCCGGTAGTATGACATAATAGTCTACGAACGATACCAGCCTAGCAGACTACGAACGATATGAACCTTATGCACAAATAAATCGACTCTTACGTATATCAGAACGTCAACCACCACAACAACAATACCAACGACGAGCGAAGAGAAGACAGATCGCTGACAGAGAGAGTCTTACTGTCTTAACAATAGCCAATGCAGTTGACAGCGACGCTGAATATACACATTTCTAAATCACCTTGATGAACAGCAGATCAACATATAGGTAAAAGTAGTTAACAAACTAGTGAGAGTTTAACCTTGAGAGCAGAGGGTGTGAAAACAGCCATATACGTTTAGGTCATAGGCAAAACAGTATGAAAACGTTATGCAAAAACAGGAGTATAGAGCAGTCCTAAACTATTATTATTTATTATTTCCCTTAGGTTCCTAATGGAACATAGGGCTTCAGTAGCACGTCTCCAATGCGCTCTCTTCTCTGAAATCTTTTCAACCTGGCTCCACGACTGCCCACAAGCTCTCATTTCCTCCTCACACCATCTCCTCCATGTCACCCTCACCTCGGACGCCCAACTCGTCGTTTCCCATCTACCTTCCACTCGAGCAACTGGCCTGATCCGTGATGTCCCCGAATAGTCTCCTCAGTGTATTGCAAATCTATCTCCGCTTCCTACTGCATATTTGTTGAGTGATAGGTTCTTGGTTGGTTCGTTGCCAGCCAGCCAGCCAACCAGAGTTCCTTGTTGCTTATTCTCATTATTCTGGCAATCCATCTGAGCTTCAGTAACGAGTCAGCGTAGGCAGCAGTTGTTGATGAATGTCTGTAGTTTGTTGGAAATACCTTTCGTAACCCGCCAAGTCTCTCAACCATCACACAGAAGGACTGACTGACTTGACTGAATTAGTGTTGAAAATCCGGATGTTGTTGACGCTTTATGCTGAGTGCAGTGCAGTGCAGTGCAAAAATCTGCACACTGATTTCAGGTTAATGAACGCCAGTCTCACTTTTCCAATCCTGGTTTTGACGTCCTCATCTGTGCCGCGTGTAGTTGAAACAGTGGTGCCTAGATAGGAGAAAGAGACTACTTCCTTTAAGTTTCTCTCGTTGATGGAGATTGAAGCTTGTTGTTGCTGTTGTTGTTGGTTGGGTATCTTCATCGCCTCTGTCTTCTCGACATTCACTTGAAGTCCCGTCTTCCTTGGCTGCCCTGCCTCTTCAGTCAACTTGTTAGTTTTTGCGTTTAAATCTTTCAGTTTGTGTGACATTAGACATAAATCATCGGTGAAATCCAAGTCTTCTAGGTTCTTTTTCCCGGTCCAGCCAGTATATGTCCTCTTCTCGCTCTCAATATTTGTTGCATGATCCAGTCGACTATAATCATAGGTGATAGTAGGCAACCTTGTTTTACTCCTGTCTTCACTTCAAAAGCATCACTGAGCTAGCTTCCCATTGTGAATTACTTGATATGGCGTCTTCAACTAGTTTTAAAGAAATTTTTACTACATCATTCAAAGTAAACTCTCAGTGCACGAAAGCTTTTACAATAACATCTTAATTGTAGTGTTGAAGACAGAAGATGGTTTTTAAGAAACATTGATGGGATAGATGATTCTGTCAGTAGTTACAAGTTCGTCGTATACTTGTAGAACTTGTACGGTGATTATATCCACTTCCCCCCTGTCATTGAAATCAGGTTACATGTTATATTGAATAACTGACAAGATGTGATTGGTGTAGAGATTGAGAACATACTTCGAACACGCGTTACCTTCAAAATCTAATGATTAATTTACATCTTTGTTCACTATGAGATATTGTTCACGTTGTAGTCAAATGAAGTTTAATTTCTCATTTGTTGTGTACACATCTACACTCTGCTACACTTTCCCCATTTCTATTTTCACCTACTATTAGCTAAAGTTGCTAATGGTTACAGCTAGTATTTATCCTTACATCCAACTGATTGGACATTACAGGTCATAGCTTCTCATTGGATCTCCAAGAAATTCATTTCAAAGTATATCGATAATAAGCACTTAATTGTACTTCAATTTGAAGATATGTAGGGTTTTTGGTTAATTTTAAGGTAGTATATACTACTGACTGACAGTTGAGAACATTGAATAACTGGTTCTTCCTGAATTATGACTTATCAACGGGGTGCTATGGTACCTAGAAATCAATCAGTGAATCAATCCCCCAGAAAGTAATCAAGCTGAATAATTCACTACACTCATCATTTTGATGTTAATCAGTTGAAAGTAATCAAGGGAAAGTTTTGAACGTCCAACCAATTTAAAAACAATTAAAAGTACACTAAAATGTTTAGTCTTCCAGCTTTATGATCATATTAGCAAATAACCGATAGAATTTAGTCAGTACTTAAAGTGGTGATATGAACTCAGTTACGCTCCAGTAACCGATCCATCTACGCTCATGATATCCATTATGAAACTTGTTGTAAGCTAACAGCCATTAATTCTTAGCGTTGTTTGTATTATAGTAATGAAATAAAAATTATAGATAGTTTAGGAGTAGCAGCGAAGACCGGACTTCAAGAGAATGTCGAGAAGACGAGGGGATGAAGATAACCAACAACACCACCAACACCAACAACAACGAGCTCCAATCTCCATCAACGGGAAAAACTTAGAGGAAGTAGCCTCCTTCACTTATCTAGGCAGCACTGTTTCAACTACAGGTGGCACAGATGAGGACGTCAAAACCAGCCAGGATCGAAAAGACAACAAGACTGGCGTTCATTAACCTGAAATCAGTGTGCAGATCTTTTGCACTGCACTGCACTCACTCCGCATAAAGCGTCAACAACATCCGGATTTTCAACACTAATTCAGTCAAGTCAGTCAGTCTTTCTGTGTGATGGTTGAGAGACTTGGCGGGTTACGAAAGGTATTTCCAACAAACTACAGACATTCATCAACAACTGCTGCCTACGCTGACTCGTTACTGAAGCTCAGATGGATTGCCAGAATAATGAGAATAAGCAACAAGGAACTCTGGTTGGCTGGCTGGCTGGCAACGAACCAACCAAGAACCTATCACTCAACAAATATGCAGTAGGAAGCGGAGATAGATTTGCAATACACTGAGGAGACTATTCGGGGACATCACGGATCAGGCCAGTTGCTCGAGTGGAAGGTAGATGGGAAACGACGAGTTGGGCGTCCGAGGTGAGGGTGACATGGAGGAGATGGTGTGAGGAGGAAATGAGAGCTTGTGGGCAGTCGTGGAGCCAGGTTGAAAAGATTTCAGAGAAGAGAGCGCATTGGGGACGTGCTACTGAAGCCCTATGTTCCATTAGGAACCCAGGGGCCAATAATAATAAGACTAGTTGTTAAGTGCCAATATCACAAAAATTGTAGCTTTCTAGTAAATGCAACAAGTTATATCTTATTTCAATAAAAGAAAAAGAATATATGAGCACAAACTTACCAAACAATCTTCTTCCCCATTGACTTCTATGCCTCCACTACCCATTTCACGTGGATTTATACTGATCGTATTGACATCTGTATTATCATCCGCTTGCATCAATTCATCTGGACAGCGTGAATTCAAACCAGATGATGGCGCTGAAGAACTTGACCAACCACCATTCACTAGTGCACCACTACTACCTCCACCACCACCACTGCCACCGGCACCACCACCACCAGCGCTACTAATTTGAGTATCCTGATTTAACAAACCTAAACGTGAAAAGGATTTTTTTTTATTTATTTACACGAAATTGATCCTAAATTACCATCAACACGGATTAAATCATTATTTATAGCATTATTTAATGAAGTATTTACTGCAGATGTCGCAGAATACGAAAGACTAGCTGGAGGTTGTGGTCGATGAGATTTAGCCAAATTAATCTGTCGACTATACGATTGTTGAATATCACTATCAGATGGAGTTAACTAGATTGACAAGATGCAAGAGAGAAAGAAAGAAGAAAAGACGACAATATAAAAGCATATGTGCATAAAAAGTATATATATATATATATATATATATATATATATATATATATATATATATATATATGCTTAGATAAATGATTCAATCCCAAGTAATATTGCATTATAAATACAATATAGAATCATCATGGAATAAGTTTATTTCATCAGACAACTTGATAATATTATGTATACACAAAATAACTTCAATGTTGTTATAAGCAAACAGTATAATTATATCATACAATATCCACCAAACAAATATACAAACAAGATGATTCGTATATATTTAAGGGCCTTCAAGCCGAAAAGAAAAGTTCAATTACTTTTTTTTTTAAAAGTGACTCCTGCTAGCTGTGATATATTTCAGATTACAACGCTCTACAGACAATATCATAAAAACAAAACCTTCTTATGTAATCACATGTTACGATATCTTATTACACGTGTTGACTGGTCTCTGTTAGCTTCCAAGGTTTTGTGTAGATATTCTCATGTAGTTGATGATTTCATTCAAGGTGGGGTAGTGGTTCGCAATGGAATCCAGGCTGAGCGTTTCATCCCATTCAAGACTCATCAATGATTAATAGTATTCCTATCGCTTTAAACGCCAGGGTGTTATCCACGAAGATCACTGAAATAAGATAGCCACTCTTTATGTAATGTTTTGACCGAGTAGTGGGGTTACGCGCATGGGTATAATGATACTAAGGCTCAACAAATACCTCAACCGAATACCTTTACGACTGACCTCTCTCAGTACCTGCTTCACTGAGCCGCGGAAAATCAGAAGACAGACGGCCTGTGACTGCAAGAACAGCGACAAGTTCTATTAGGCAAATACATGACATATGTGTATTTATAAAACTTTCAGAAAGTGAAGCCATAAATGAAGCAATCCGATTTCTTGTATGAGGTCGAACTTCTCCAATCAGGTTCTCATATCAGCACATGTACAAATCATGACCTGAACATGATCTCATCATGACTTGAAAACAACTCCCTTATTGGCTGCCTTTTGTCGCTACGTTATAGTAACGGGGCATAGTTGGATACTAAGATTTTAGTATTCCGTTGTTGATTGGTTTATATCGAATTGATCAGTTTATTGAAAACATTCATCTCTCGATACAAGTTTAAAACAAGCAACAAATTTAATTAAAGCAGGATTTATTGAATTGATAAATTTCAGTGGGACTCATCAGTTTTTTTATTCTACATACATGATTTTATATACTGTTATATGCAATAAAGGAATGTATACACACATAATATAGCAAACTAAGACATTGACTGAGGCATGACAACATGAAGTGAATCATCTAGTTATGTCACACAGATATATTTTAGTTGATTGGAAGCAATCGACAGGAAGCCCTGCTTGACCTAGGTTTCGTGCTTTTTGGCACTCGTCAGCAAGGCGTTTATCTGCAACCTTGACGGAACTGATGTCCCGGTCTGAGATTTGAACCCGTGCCACTCAGTGTTGTAGTCAGTGACTTTACTACTGATCTATTCGGGCTGCAATTGACCTCCTGTAGAGATAAAATTTGGTTGAGAAGGGGTAATGAATTGATAATGAAAAATATAAACAACTAGTGATGGATTACATCATTTCGAACAGAACAATTAGTAATAGCCAACTCGATAGCTTGATAAAGGTGTACACTAAGAGGGCATAGGTGTGTGAAGTGAGCAAAAATACATTGATTATAGTAGTAATAATACGAATGAGTGATAATAATGATAATGATAACAATGAGAATATGAATATTGAGAAGATTAAAGGAGACGACGTCTTAGAATTCGTTAAGCGGAGACTAGACAAGGCCATCATGCAGGTAAGCTAGTACTTCTGAGTACCACTAGGCGGGTGTTCCAGAAATCAGGAAAAGACATGACTCCAATCCTCGACACATTTTTAACTGTATATACTAATTCGAATGTACTTGTGGAAGTAAAGACATAAGTCGTACGGTAAGGTATCTGTCTACTCATATGATTGAGCATTTACCTAAATAGTTGAAACAAGCGAAGTCAGAAATCCTGCGGAGTTCGATTACGAAACACCTAATGAATTATCGACATGATGTTGACACCAACTAAGGCCTTCTCGGTTGTCAGTAGATAGTGGAATAAAAAAATGCTTGCAATTGTAGAAAAAGGTGAGATTAGAGTTCGTAAACCCAGCTTATGTGTACAGAAAGAGATGATAGTCACCCTGAATCTACCATAGTAGATGTGTTAAGGTATTTTGAAGTTATTTTTGTTTTTATTGATAAATGTCTTATTTTTCCACTTCATTTCTTCATATATTTCGCAGACTTACGTCTTCATTATCATTCTGCTGTACTATAATATCTTCTTGAACTTCTTCGCTCACTAGTCAAATCTTAGGTCTGTTTGATATAACTAAATGATTCAATCCGTGTTGTCATGCCTCAGTCAATGTCTTAGTTTGCTATATTATGTGTGTATATATTCCTTTATTGTATATAACACTATATGAAATCATGTATGTAGAATAAAAAAACTGATGAGTCCTACTGAAATTTATCAAATCAATAATTCCGGCTTTAATTACATTTGATCAGTTCATATTTATATGTGACATTTCAAGTGATAGATGTCCGTCGAAGCACTATTGGTCACTCAGATGCAAGTACATTCAACTAACTTCTCCCATACGTTCTAGATTCCACCGTTGGTCACCACTATCTAGCTTTAATAAACAACATGTTAATGAATTCTCAAACAATAAACTCAATATTCATAGATTGATCACTAAATGATCAGTTATCACATTGACTGATGTTAATGATAAAGGATTGTTAAATCCGCTTCCACTTTTGTATAATAGAAAGTTGAGCTGTGATTCATTCACTCACTCATTCGTTGGTTTCAAGACTCAACTTTTCACTCAAGCAATTTGAAGTGCTTTCTACCTACTCTCAAATAATCAGTATGACTTATCATCGTTTAGTGAATAAATGTGAAAATAAATGAACAACACAGTACACATCAGTAGTAAAAAAATTAACAGAATAACGCAGTCTTCTACATCAATTTACATAAAGAAGGGGAGGATTTCAAAGACAACACTACACTACTACTATACTATTACACAACAATTAATCCAGTCTATTAGTTAACCAATTGTCGTAGCAAAACAATAGAATCTAAGAGGAAACTTATCAAGAACATTTTTCTTGCGAATTCATTCATTTATATAATGAAACAGGAGAAAAAATATACGCACTGAATCAGTACACTAAAGAGTAAGTCTCCAGCAATATCAAGTCGCCTAACTATTGATCCCATTACAAACTTTTTTTAATTCTTAAAGTGAATTATTCATTAATTAGCAGGACAGTAAAAGGATCTTTTACATATCCTGTTTACAAACTAATGTCTATCTCTGTATACAATAGAAAATATTTCTTGAACAGTTTCATAAGGGTAAGTGAACATAAGAAAAACGAGTAGCCTACTCTTTCTCACTCCCGCTCTCTCTCTCTCTCTCTCGGTCACTTGTTGGGATTATTATTAGTCAGTCACATAACATCTTGAATGATTGATTAGAGAAGACGACAAAACTAAAGTTCAATCGGTGGGTATTTATTGATTTCAAGTTAATATTCATCACAGTTCTGCGTTCGAGCACAGGCAAGGTGAGATCATGAGTGCGTACTGCTGAGGAGTCCCATGCATCAATCCGCCAGTAGTGGCGGATGAATTCATTCAATCAACGATGGAGTTTCACAATTTTTTACATGAAAAAACATTAGCTACCACCATTTATTAAGAATATCAATGGTGAAATCTATTTTACTGGATAGAAGAAGAATGTGTACTTCAGTTGAATGGAGTATATAAGAGAAACAGCAAGACGAATACATTCATTTCAATGTTTTTTTAGAACCTAGGCTATATTCTTCAGTAGTATAATGGTTATTATGCAACAAAACAAAGTGTAACAGTAATAAATATGATTGGTTATAATTTCTCATCTTCCTTGTTCGTTTAGTTTGAAAGAAGAATAGAAGAATTGAAATGACACTTTACCACCCACAAGGTTCATTCTCTTCCTCTTCATTTAAAATCTTCCAATCTCTATCCACCAAATTCATACAATTTCTATATGTGTATGTGTGTTTCAGTAAAACTTGGTAATAATATACTAGATGGATAATATAACATGAAAAGGTTTAGATATAGAGTAAAAGAGAGAAAGAGGAGACAGAGTAGGAAAGCGCAAGTGGAAGAAATATGTAGCAATAAAGGTCAAACAAATGAACAACACACTTCTCAAAATGAAACAAAAACGTGAAGATAAAAAGTAGAAAAGCATTGAAAACAATACCAATACATGAAATACAGAAAATATCTATTCATTTGCATGTATTCCATTGAAATAACTATTACTATTGCTGCTATTGGCATTGTATAACTATTCTACAATATACTATGAGTTATAGAGACATAGGAAGTATCGATATTATTGGTGAAACAGTGAAAGATCAACAGACAATTCAAAGTATCAATGAACTTTCATTATCATCATCACATTTTTCAACAATCAACGCATCAATCCAACCGATAATTACACCAAAATGGGAGTATATTCTATTATATATTATACCATTTGGAACTTTATGGGGAAATATATTTGTTTGTTTAGCTGTTTATCTTGAGAGACGATTACGTCATCGTTTCAATTTATTTCTTGTTTCATTAGCGATTAGTGATTTGTTATGCGCATTGTTAGTAATGCCAGTCTCTGCATGGCATATGATTATGGGTAGGTTAGTTTTATTTACTTTAATGTGTTGATAAGTAGTAATATTAAAATTGTTTAAAAGAAAAACAAAAAAGAAGATTATCCACCTGTTTTTTTATTGATAATTATTTTAGATTATGGTTATAAGGTGTAACTATTGAGATCTTACAACAACAACAAA